TTGTTTGAAGGACAAAAGAAATATTAGCCTACTACATAAGAAAACTCCTATACAAATGAAAATGTCTCATCAATGGATTGAAGCTTGATAATGGAGATGTTTGGGCTTTTATCAATCAAATTAGATCATATGGAAATAATATACTGTCAGTAGCATACAAGATGAGACTGAAGTAACCAAAATTAATTATAATAATAGTATAATAGCTACTCATTTAGAAATGGAAACACCATCAATTAACTGGAAATTGCTTCCTGAAATAAAAAAATTAAGTACTTGTTTCTTGAGATTCATTGAAAACACCTTTTCCTTATTCATAAGCAGATACCTTCCCGCCACCCACCACTGCAGAAAAGAATTAGTATCAAAAATAAAAAAATTTCCTAGATCAAAACAGAAAATCTGCACATTAATCAAAATGTGCTGTCAGTGAGGAGGTTGTATAACATTCAACTGCCCCGAGTAGATTACAAAAAACACTAATGCAATTATTCTGCTATTGATTAAGTTTTGTTGAATGGGAGCTAGCTAGTTCTGAGTTGTGGTGCGCTAGGGCAGATCTCTTAACCTCTGTGTCTCAAAATCCCTATTCGTAAAATGGGGGTGACACCTCTTTCACAAGGATGTTATGAGGATTAGTGTTATAACATCGTGCTGTGGAAATGTTACTCTGTACAAGTGCTAAATGTTCTTATCTACTTATCAAACATATTTGTTACTTCCATTTAAAATAGATTTCATATGAATACATTCAATTTGAACTTTAAAAAAATCTTTGATGGTATTATAAAAATATCAGATTGTAATTCTGGTTACTACTGCCTGAGTAGGATAAGGACCCTTCTTCATCTGATAGTTAACTGAGAAATACCCTCCCTGGTGATCATTTACTCTTAACCAGGAACTATTTTGTTTATTTGTTGGTCTCCGCAGACTGATGGAAATGGTACCAAAAATGGTCTTATTGTGTTTAAAAAATTAATTAATAAAATTTTTTTAAAAAGCAGAGCTACCTATTGAGATCAATGAACGGTGAGTTTTACTTAAAAACAAAAAGGCAACAAAAACAAACAACACAATATATCCCACGTCTGGAAACTTGTGGTCGTTTCTTTTTTTCTACCTCTTCCTCCCTTCTCTTGCTGGCTGGCTGACTGGTGGCTGTTTTCCTCAGGGCCCTTCTGTGGCTCCGGCTGTTCACGCTCTTGGCTGTCCTTATCAACACGTGATGTGTGGATGGCGCTTCTGTGAACGTCAGCATTTCCAAACCTTGCATGTGTTGCATTGCTAAGCAACTTTTAGCAACACTTATCTCCCATCCTTATGCCATCTGGAAGAGAGGATGATACAAGGAAGTGTGCCAAGGAGAGGCTGAAGGCAAATCAAAGAAAGAGATGGCTTAATTACATAGCAGAGGGAGTAACCCAAATAGAGAGCACTTGTGACTGTTGGTAGAAGGTGGGCAGGCACCTTTATGGATGAGGATGATGGACCATAAGAACGCTTACATATCCCACTACTTTCACTGTCTTTTTTTAAGTGTTAAAATCTTGCTTGTTGGTAGCTGCTGGGAAAAGAGGCATACACAGTAGAACTCTATGGCTGTGGCAAAGTTGCTGCCCCAACACACTCCCTCCTGGATGGCTGTTGCACTGCAGCAAGTTTTGTCTCAGTGTCCCCCTACTATCCTTTGGTCTACTTCAGCCATAAGATTGTCCAAGCCTTCCAGCCAGACCACTTTGCCGAATCTTGCACCTTTCAGGCCACAGAGTCTTCTACCAAAGTCTAAAAGAAATGTAAACAAAATCAAGCCTTCAAACAAGCTGGGCTCAGCTGTTCACCTCTTCCTCATACATGTACCTCATCCACTACAGTTTGCCCCCATGCCTTGTCTCAAGCTCCTATGCCTTCGACAACTCCACTCTCCAGGGGCTGGCATGCTCATTCTCTCTCTTAGGGGTTGAGGCAGGTTACGTCTCCTCACGGCCCGTATCTCCAATCAGGCTTCTAGCTTGCCCTTGGAGTAGCATGACTGCTCTGCTGCCTTTCTCAGCCTTCTTTCAGGTTGCATACTAGACAGAGGGAAGAACTCTCTGCTCCCTCACCCAGATCTTTATGGAAACAAGCCCTGTTCTCCCCCAGCTGGGCTCTATCTCTAATTTGGCCTAGCCCACCCTTCAGGTGTGAGCAGGAAGGTTAATTGGGTTCTCATATTAGCTCTTTCCCAGCATGTGTGGGATGAACACCCCATCACGATGGCACACTTGCATGTTGTAAAGTAAGATAAAAGTCTATTATTTCAATACATCACAATAAACCGATTAGTTTCTAGTTATTGTGAAACCTCGTAAACTTCAGATTTCCCACCATTGCTATCACAAGTTCAGTTCTGCTGGTGGTAGTGGTTACGTTAGTCTAGCGTGGAGTGGCTGGCTGACTGACATTTTAATGACTGTGTTATCCAGCCTTCCTCAGAGCAGGTGTAGATGACACCATTGCGAAAATGGCAATGCCTGCTCGTAGTGTGATTATATTAGTTACCACCATCGCTACCTGGGGTGGAACTACACTGCTGATAGAAATGGTGAGATTTTTTCAGAAGAGTCCACTGCATAATATTATCTCTTCCCCCTAATCTCATCCCCCCCACACACACTTTTACAATTAAAATGATTTATTCTTCTATACATCTATATTGCAATAATAATAATTTTCCCCTCTGAAGGCTAAACACTAAATCTGAATCATTGCCAAATCCCCACAGGCCTGTGTCATTATTGAGTGACCACTTGTTCCCTTGCTTTTCTGTTAATCATGGTCTTTAACTCTCCTGAAAGTAATATAGCAGTGCTGAAGTTACTGGGTTTCCCCAGTACCGCTTCAGAGATTGAATTCACTTCTGTATGGTATCTTTCATACTATGTATTAGTGAATGTTTAGAAGTGTGAGCACCATTTTAAATGTGGTCATGCTCAGAAGTAGATTTTTTGGTTTTTGGCATATTCAGCATTTTTAAATGATTGCTACATCTTTTCTTTGAGCTGCTTATTTTAACCATAGGAAGAGAGGCACTGGTTATACAAGAGCAAAGGGTCACATTCTAACTCGTGTTCTATAGTACTTTACTGCATAAATAGTCCCATTGATTTCAGTGGGACTACTTGTGAAATAAGGTGTTACTCAGTGTGAGTAAGGAATCAGAATCAGGCCCAGAACTACAGTTCTGATAACTACATTTGTATATAGTAATCAGGTTTACCTTTCTCTATACAGTATATACATACAGTTTATATACATAGACCATATTTAGTCCAAACGTACTTCCTTCCTGATATCTATAGTTGTTGGTAACTCAGCTAATATTAACAAATATATAAACTTAAGCTTTCTCTCCAAGAATGACTATCCTTATAGTTTCTCCACTGAAATTTCTCTGTCCTAAAACCCAGTTCTTTGCTCAAAGAGCTATTCCCACCTCTCTGTCCCAAATGGAGTTAATGAGTTGCACCTGCCACCAACGAATCAACAAAAATAAGCTGGCATTGCCCTGCAGGGTTTCAACACCTGCTAATAGGGTGGGACAACAGAAGAGCCTGCCATCCGGTCCATCATGAAACTTTCACTCCATGCTTTGTAACAATTATACTTTGAAGCAAATCGTTTTCAAATTATTTCCATGGAATGCTTTAAAATAATGATGGGAAAACTAGAATAAAGTGAGTTGCTGCAGAAACATATTTCTGCAGAACTGTTTTTAACACCCTGTGCTCACTCAGTCTTGTTCTCTTATTTGGATACTAGTTGCTAAAGGTGAAAAGAGTGGAAGAAGTCTAACCTCTAAATCCATCTGGAATTTGAAGGTGGCTTAGACAAATTTAGAGTTATAGTAGCACTTTGTTTTGTGCAGCCTCCATTTATCATACAGCAGAGCCAGAAATTGAACAACCTGCCATAAAATAAATTTTAATTTGCAGTGGATCAGCATAGCAGAAATGAGATCACATGAGACTTTAAAACGTGTTTATTCTCCAGCTCCTAACACCCTGCTAAGTTTAAGGAGTCAGTGCCATAGAGCAGGAGAGAACCTGAAACACATACTTTCTCTTTTTTTTTTTTTTAACGCTACATATAGCTATTGGCAAATATTATAGAAGTACCACTTCACTTCCCACACTTGAACTTTTGGTTGTCTGTGTGTGTTGCAAGTGTGAGTTCCTGCTCCCCTTCCTATGATAGACTGTCTCACCATTCTTCTATTGTCAGCAAATAGCTATGAAACTCACTAGAAAAGGGTGTCTGTCTCTCATACCCCTCTAGTGCTGGTCCACGCAGAAGATGACAGCCTAATACTGTTACTTTGTGCTGTGGATCTCAAGGTTCCAGTTGCTGAAAGAGACAGAGATCCTGTGGAAAAATAATATCTGGTCTTGCAATTAAAGATTTTATCATAAGGCATGCATACCAGGGGTCCAATTATGGTTGCACAGCAGCTCAGTTCTGGCATTCCCTAACTTTTGAGTGCTTGATTTTGCAAACATAATTTTCTTTGTGTATAATATTATATATCTTGGGCCAAATTCAGCAGTGGTGTAAATCATTGAAATCTTTGGGGTTGAATTTGTCCCAGTATGTCACTCTTCACAATCTGTATAGGAAATGGTGCATCATTCTGCATGTGCCAAGTAGTAACTCATTCTCTGCATTTAAGTGCAATGTAATTTCTTCACAGAAGCACCTCTGATAATAGCGCCCCACTGTAACAAACCTTCGGCAAGAAATACTTGATTCTTCTTTTTCTTTAGAGGGTGTACTGTGGAGGGCCACGTAATCCTTGACTGTTGTGTGGTCCCCCATTCAACATGTTCCCACAACTGTTGGAAGGATATTTATAAAGAACCTTGAGGGCCACCCACTTGGCTATTGAGAACCCTCTGGAATAATCCCTTCGATATAAAGTAGCCTGTGTTACAAATTTGAAATCAATGTGTTTCTATTTGAAGGGACAGTGGAGAAATGATGTGTTCAATGGACAGGGCACCGAAATTCATTGTTCTGGTGTCATCTATGATGGACTGTGGATCAATGGCTACCCTGCTGGTACGTTCATTCATTATGCTATCCAGTTATTAACAAGACTTCAACATAATGCTTTGGCTGTCTCTCTGTTGATTAATATGATCTGGCTATAGTGTTAGCCTCCTCTGTGCACTCAGTTTGCCTGGAACATGTAGTTCATAAGAGTGAAAGCGGTAGCTGTTTGAGTGGCACATTTTTGTGTGTGTGGAGGGGAAGCTATTAATTCAAATTAAATGTAGAACCACAATGAAGTATAAAATGTTACTTTGGAATCTTTTTTGAAGAATAACGTGCTCTTTTCATTTTAAAGCAAATCACACATACATTTTTGGAGTTAAAGGCTGTTACCTTATTCACAAAAATAATAACATAGTAAGTTTAAAAAACAAGTATTAAATTGTCCTGCTCAGAAAGCAGAGGTCACAACTTGAAATTCATCTCTTCCACAGTTTTTTATTCAGCATATTCCTAGCTGCTTTCTATACCGTTTCACAAACGGCCCTAGATAAAAATTAACTAGAAGATCATGTACTATATTTCCAATAAATTCTGATAGCTTTTAGAACATAATGTGTCATGGTTTCCAAACTGGAAATGGTTGTTGCAATATGTAAGAGGATTTATTTGCTGAAAACCTAATAGAATGTTAGGGCTGGATGGAAGATGAAATTAGAAGAGCTGTTTGGAAAGAGAAGACCCCTAGAATTTCTCCATTTTTCTCTTTCAAAGACCATGAGTCAGGCTAGCCTCCTCTTCTAGCTGGATATGGCACAGGAGAGGCACATGGCTCATGGTGTCAGACTTCTAGAACGAGTTACAGAATTATCTCCATGACTCATTTTGCAATGGAAAGGGGAGATGATCTAGGGTAGAGGAAATCATCTCTTGTGTGAAGCATAGTTACAGCACCTTAGAATCCCCTTTGATCACTCATCCAGCCTTTGACTTCTCAGCATTTTCAAAGGTACACATCATCTCTACTGGATTGCTCCTCAACCCTTCTGGTATTAGTTGTAAATATCATACAAGAAGTAGGTTTTAAGAAAGGACTTGAAGAGGACAATTTAGTGGCCTATTGGAGCTGTTTGGGGAAGGTGTTCCATGTGTGGGGGGCAGTATGAAAGAAATCTGAAATGGGTTGGTGGAAGAGAATAAGCAGGGTTCTGTAATTTGTAGAATTATCATCATTTGTAATACAAATGATAATAATGCTAGTCATGGAGCAGACCCCAGTGTCCTAGGCTCTGTACAAAGACAGAACAAAAAGACAGTCCCTGCCCCAAAAACTTTGCAGTCTAAGTATGAGATAAGAGACAACACATAGGTAACAGACAGAAGAGGAAATATAAGGAAAATATGAGACAGTATTGGTCAGCACGATTGTCTCCGCACACCAGCAGCCTAATGTCAAGTTTTTTGTAGGCATCATGGAAAAGGAGAGTTAAAAGGAGAGTTTTAAGGAGAGTTTTGAAGGGGGATAATGAATTAGTTTTGCAGATGTTTATGGAGGGTGCCTCCTACACATGAGAGATAGCATGGGACAAAGTGTTAAGCCGCTTGTTAGAAAATTTAACAAGTGAATGATGAAAACTGGCACAGTGCCAATCAGAGGCAGGAGTTGACATCTTGGTAGTGAATGAGAGATGATAGGCAGGGTGGGGATAGGCCATGAAGAACACTGAAAGTGAAGAAGAATAGCTTATGTTTTAAGCTGTAGAGATGAGAGAGGCAGAGGAAGGATGCAACAAGAGGGGAGATGGTCAAAGCACCAGGGTGGGGAAGTGATTTTTGCAGCACCATTCTGAATGTATCTGAGCAGGGCAAGGTTGCATTTGTCAGGGCCAGAGAGAAGGATGTTGCAGTAATCAAGACCTGAGATGATAAAAGCTTGGATGAAATTTTTAGTTGTGTGTATAGGTAGGAAAAAATAGTATACATGGCCCTTTTACGTAGATATACATTTTAATACCTCTAGCCAGGGTAATCCTGGACGCATGTAAGATGGAAAAGGATTGGTTTAATTCTTTGACTCTGTGAAATGCACATTAATATTGTTCACTTTTCCAGGAATCTGAAACTGACACAAGGTTAATCCACTCCTAAAAATCAGAGCTAGAAAAGAGCAACAAAGGTCAACTAGCCTATTCCCCTCCTGGTGGAAGGTTGTCCCCTGTGATACAGTCTCATAACAAGCATTGTAAAACAGAGCCTAGACAACTGTCATTCCAGTTTTCAGATTGATATCTGATCCACTGACATATTTGTTCACTAGTGCAAAAATCACACCTCTGCTTTCTAATTGTGCTTTACACATAATCCCAAAGTTCTTCACAAATGATATATAAAAAACATTACTAAAATGCATCAATCTCTGTGATGGAAGGAGGCAGTCAATGGTACAAAGCATACTTCAGTGAAGGTGTGGAAGGGAAATTTTGACTTAGGACACAAAGATAAAACCATTTAATCTGAAAGTTCTCATCTGAAATTGTCACACACACAGAAAATTTTAATGGAACTCAGTGCATCTATTTCTGAAGGATGAAGTGCTAAATTAACCTCCCTGGGATCTGAAGTTGTGGCTGCTGGGAATCGAGGTATCCCTCTCCTGATCACTACGAGCTGATCCACATCCTGTGGAAACAAATGAAGAGAGACTCCCATTGACTTCAATAGGAGTTAGATTAGGACCTGAGAGAGAGAGAGAGAGACACACACACACACACACACACACACACACACACACACACACACACACTTTCTGCACATTTTGTTTGGCCTATATCCACTAAAGGGATTGCTTAAATAGTGGCTCATCTTTTACCACCACAAATGAGAAGAAGATCTAGAATGAAAGTATAAGCAATTTGTAAGGCTATTGATGCCTGAGGTCTACTACCAGCAATTCATCAATCTGTTTGGGAGAGAAAATCATAAAAGATGCTCCAGAGCAATGGTTCTTTGAAGGAGGGGGAGCACTTTAAGTCTACTAATAAGAGAAGAACTCAAATATATTTAATGTTGCAGCTCAAGCAAAGAAGATAGTAATTTTGGGCCCAGAAGTTATTGATGTAATCCAAGGGTCTGCTATCACCCTTCATGTCCAGCTACAGAATGAAGAAGGAGAGGTTTCTGAATGTAAGAACATGTTTATAGATATTTTCTGCCATATAAAAATGTTTCACAATTATAAATAGAGAATGAAAATACCAAAACATGGCATTAAATTAAATTTTCCTTTGACAGTTATGATAATTTTTGTTCAAGGTCTTTTATGAGGCCTATAATTTTGCCTTGTACCACTCAGTACCACCTAAAAGGAAATGGTTTGTAGAATCTTTGAAATTTGTCGTGTGCTGTACTTCTGATGTCTTGCCACAGAAGTCATTGCACATGACCCAAAGGTACAAATGTACACACATCTACACACAGGCTCTACACACATCCTACTTTCAGAAAACAATTATATGTAAGTAATCTATGCAATAGGCAATGTTATCATACTGGTAGCATCTCAAGAAATGAAGTGTTTGATAGATTGGTCAAAAAAATCTGTCAATGTCCCTAAAAATTTATGAATTTTACTTCATTTCTGAATTCCATACTTAATATTATATATGCACATAATTCGCTAGTCTTATTTCAAAATCTCAAAGTGGAAAGTCATATAGTTAGAAACATGCACAATGTGGGACTGTTGTGTTAAGGAGATTAATAATGGGATACAATTTTTCACAGTTAAATCCAGGTCATTAATGACCAAAATTTATAAGCATCTGACAGCTTGTTTGTGGCCTGTGTATATGAGTTGATGGTCTCAGTCCCATATTTAGAGAACATTAACTGGTCTCTTTGTTGGCAGTCTTAGCAGAAAGGTAAGGGATTGAATAGAGACAAAACTGTTCTCTCAACCCTAGAAGGGTTCTCTCCAGGTCAGTGTTAGGATAAATTGGAAGGGATAAAGTTTGTTCTGTACTTTTATTTGGAGAGAGAGAGAAGACGTCATTTTCCAGTGCTGCCAATCTATGCCCTTTCACAATCAATGCATTCATTTAAATTCTGTATTCAGAAAAGAAAACCTTCCTGTTGACAGTTAAAACTCACTTGGTCTTTGTAACCTTCTATTTAAAATCATTTCTGTGGAAGTCAAGGCTATCCACAGCATTGTGGAGTTAAATGAATGTATCTAGATAAGTATTTCAGAAAATATGACAGCTTTGTTATAGCTTTTCAAAAATACAAATCAGAGGAGGTTATTTAAAATGAATCCTCTGGAAAGGTTAAACTATGTCTTTGTTCTTTTTCTCACAATTTGAATAGAAGATGTTCAAGGAAACTGAAATATTTATTCCCCATATTTGCCTTTACTAGAAATGGTGAGCACAAACTCTCTGTTCCAGCCTGCTGAGAAGACAAGCTGGCTTTCAAGTTGTGATCTCCCAACTGAAAGTACAAATGACAGTTTTAGCTCTGTTGTTTGCGTGGTGTAGTAAAAGAAGACTCCTGGCAAGCTTCATCTACATGAGGGTTGGAAACTTTGAGTACCTAAGGCCTCTGCAGAATTATGCATGTTTGCTAACTTTTCTTTGAAATTGTGCAAGGGATTCAGCGACTGCTGGGTTTCCTCTGATCATTACTTTTCTCAATCTGCTTTTTTTGTATGCTGAACTACAGAAAGTATAATTTTTCCCACCTTGTCCCTGGACTCGTATTTGGCTTCAACTTCTGTGAAATTAAGCCAGCACAGAATTTGGCCCTAGTTTTTACCAGACTATTTTTTTCTGTCAGAAGAAAACTTTATTACAGTTATTATCAACACATCACAAAATGAAAGAACAAACTCAGCAGCTGAGAGATGGAAGGACACACCATTTTGATTTGCCAAATAAACAATATAAGACTAAGGATTAACAATTGAAGTGAATGAGCAAGAAATATTAATGGGGCATTAATCAAAGATATTAGATCATGACTGAAATAGCTACAATGAAAGAGAAGCAAGAAAATAACACTGGATTATTCTCTCAAGTAGATTCTGATTTCCTAGATATTTTCTTACACTTAAATCTTAATTTTAAAAAATATTTTCTTCTTCCTTCATCATATATTTTTCTTTTTAAAAACCACTGACCACCAGTCTGTTGGACAAAACACTAGGTTTTATTATCACCCTTGCTAACAAGTATGATGAGAGTGTTTTTACTCAGTGGTTGATTCTGAAATTTTGCATAAACTTGTAAGATATTGTGCAGTTGCAACAAATATTTCTGTTTTTTACTACACAGTTATGAAATTTTAATTGTTTATTTTTCCTGTTGCTCTTTTGATGGGAAGATGAGAATGGTCGACTTTTGGAGATCTGGGCTGGAGTCAAAAACCATCAAATTCCAGCAAGTTCTTCTACCAGCTTATTCAAGTTAATTGAAGAAGTTGAAAGGAAGCCAGTGAAAACCCCTTTGTACGTAGTGTGTGGAAAAATCTATTTCAAGAAGTATTTTCTCTTGAATAATACGCAAGGTGCAGTGACTAAATGTCTTGCAGTCACTCATTGGTGTTTTTCCTGTGTATTGGTGCTGACTTTCCCTTGCAGTACTTGACCTATCATCTAGTTCAAGCCAGATTCTTGGATTTTTCTTGTGCCATCACCACTTACTTTCTATGAGTTTCTCCTCTTCCTCCCAAGCCTATGACTTCCAGAAGGCACTGGGAACCTCATTGAAATCAGTAGAAGGAATCCTATTGACTTCAGTGGCCTTTGGCTCATGGCCGTGGGTGATAAGGCTAATTCTTTTCATAAACTCTGACTATATTCCCTCTTACATTACTGCAATCTTCATTGACATTGAGTGTGGGAATCCTGGGGTAGATCTTCTTTAGTCTTTTTTCCCTTGTATATCTGAATTTCTTTGCCAGTATTTCTTGATATAGTATTTTGAAAGAAGCCATTTTGTTTTTCAGACATTAAATTCTACAAATATTACTGGTGAGGTAGAAAAAAAGATATTGAGTAAGTGTCAAGCCTAAGCCCCATTTTCAGAAATAAATTAGGCACTTAGGAGCCTAAAATGTTTTCTACATGGGAAAGTTATGCCCGTTTAAACTAAGGTTTGAATTTTAATAGGCAAAGTTATACCAGTATAACTATATTGGTTTAGAGTCACACCTTATCTTAACTTGTGTAATTCTACTGATATAACTGGTAAAACTTTCCTATGTAGACAAACCCTTAATTCCATTGTAAGTGGCTCCTCCTAAATCACTTAGACAATGGTGAAAATTTTACCCTTTGCGACAGTTTTGTTTTAAACCAAGCTTGTGTTTTGATCACTGGGTAGTTTGTTTCTCCATAGTCAGTTTTTAAAATGGTCTTTTGGTCTACTAAGTGTTCAGCACTTTTGAAAATCAGCCTGCATATTTAGGATCCTAAATCAGAATTCATGGCTGAGATTTTCAGAGCCTAAGTGAGTTTGGCACCCAGTTCCCATTGAAATTTGAAGTGGTTTGAACCCCTAACTCCCTTGAAAATCCCAGCCAACATATTGCTCAACATATTTTGTAGAGTAACATATTTCTCTTTTCTCCCTCAAGGGTAATGGCTGACCATAGGTGAAAATATTACTCAATATCTTTTATCTAGCTAGACACTTAAAAATCCTTAGTCTCAGCAGCACTCTACCACATGAAATGTAATCCACAGTAAAAATTCTCTTTCAAGCTGCTCAGTTTTAATCATTTTATGATGATTATCAGGACAGGTCATCATTATGACTTTGTGTACCAGTTCACCAGGACCTGACAGACATGAGATAAGTAACCCAAATAAACTTGGTGTACAAAGGTTTAGGGCTACACTGTTTGCTGACAAAATCAGATAGACTAACATTATGGGACATCAGCTAGTTTCTCAGTACTGTATGTTATGTTGTATATATCACAATATATATACACAGCTGTAACTTTCATTCACTGGATATTTTACCCTGATGATAAGTTCCATATTATATCTGGATTATTTTATTAAAATCTTAAAACCTATCAGCACAAACAAAATAAAACGTCAACCCTATTTTCTTTCACAGTGGATTTGAGTGTATTAGCTATCCTTTGATGGATGCTGTGTCCGGAAGCTGGGAACTGAAAGCTGCTGTCCCTATATTTGGCAAATCTGGATTTGCACTGGCTGATTTACCAATCCCTAAGGGAGATATAGAGCCAGAATCCAGATCAGACACCCGGCTTGGAACGGGAGATGCCCCTAGCAACGAGGATGGTGAGTAGAGATAATGGATTAGTCAACTGCTCAGCTTTTTAGTTAACTGAGAAACAAAAAGTATCTTTACACAGCAGTAAAACAACTCAAAAAAATAGAAGATGGCTTTTGTAATGCAAATAGGTGGCTCTCAAAGCATTTTAACAGCAGAAGTGATTTCCACTGACTTTCTTATAATAAATGGAATAAATTTCATAGAAATATTTAATTTCTGTTTTATAAAAAACAACCTCTTCTGCAAAGCTTCTACTTCAGTTATTTTGTTCAGTCAAAACACACTGGTTCACAATGAATTAGATAAAGGAGCTGCAACAATCACTTAGACAATCTAAGTTCACTCACTGTGGTAGAATGAAAGATGGGCCTAAACCATGAAATGTAAATGTGAATCCAGAATTTTGACCCTCTCTCCCACCGCCAGCATTCAGAGGCATTGGTGCTGGTTCAGCCCATCTCTAGTAACAACTTTCATTCTGTGACTTCAAATGCAGCAGATGCGGTGTCTTGAGTAAAGTGAAAGTGCCAGTTTCAGCAAGAATGGAGGTGCTGGATCCTAAAGCCTCTAGCCCCTTTAAGATATTTTTAATTAACTGAAATCAGTTTAAGATAAACACCTTTTAAGTGGAAATATATGTTTAATTTTTTCCCCTCTCAGTTTTATCCTTGTTGCTTGCAATATCTGGTGTACGAATTTTTGGGAAATGGCCAACAAGCTTTAACCTGTGATCTTATTTTGAGGCTATGTAACCACAGTCCAGTATTCTCAATCCCATGTTGTCAAAAGTCATGAGATTTAAAAAATAGTAAATTTGGGTTCTTTTTATTTGCCTGCTGGGTTTGAGAAATTAGGGTCTACATCTTCAAGCTTTACTTTGTAATTATAAGGACTAGAATGTTCTCCTTTTTAGAAAGTGAAAAATGAGATTTTCACATAATCACCCAGTTTTAGGAGGCGGGGCTTTAAGAAAAACATAAAATATCTCGAGACTCATGATAAAATCACCAGAGTTAGCAACTCTGTTGGTCAGATTTCCCTTAATCTTTCCTGACCATTTAATTCATCAGACTCTTGTGTTAATAAAATGAGTTATCACATGTAAAAAGCTTCACAAATAGTTCACTGCTGTGTCCTCCCATCTATGAATGCATGTATGAAACATACAGTTCATTCAATTAGAAAAAACGTCTCTCGTTCTTGTAGATGGCACTTCACATACCACTACAAGAGGTGCATTTCAAGGGGAGCCATTTCATCAGAATTTAGGCGGGATGGAAGTGCACAGAACAGGGAGAGGAAAAGTTGCTTGTTTTTAAATATTAGGTCTATGAAATAAATAAAATTAAAATAGGAAAATGTGGAATTACAGGACAGTAATTTGAATTAGTCTACTGGTGAAATCATGTTTGGTTCTTGGGGTGTAAGACTTCTATTTAAGGTATTTAAATGGAACCCATTACCATAGTGTCTGAGTGCTTCTCAGTCTTTACGGTATTTATCCTCGCAATACCCCTGTGAGGTAGGCAGTGCTATTATTTCCATTGTATGGATGGGGCACTGAGGCACAGAGAGGCTACGTGACTTGCCCATGGTCACACAGGAAGTCTGTGATGGATCAGGGACTTGAACTCCTAAGTCCTATGCTAATGTCCTAATGTCCTCTTGTTCATCTCATTACCCCTTGAAGGAATTATAGCACAGTAAGTCATAGTTGCATGTTCATCCTATATATATATATATATATAATATATTCAATACTTAGATTGTTATTCCATTTTCCTACAGGACAGGGAGTAACGATTGAACTAACACTTTCTTTATAAACATGCTGGTATTGTTTTACCACTCTATTATTCTTGGAATTATTCATGGGAGCCTAATGCTGAGGCTTGGGAGTTGAATCAAAGTTTAATCACGGCAGTTTATTGTGAACAGTAATATTAAATCCTCCCATATAACTTGATACATTGTAAATACATGATTTGCATCTTAATATGGTCAATGGAGTAACAAAGCTGGTGGTAGTTACGAGTTAGTTGAAAAAACAAAACAAACACCATCTATCTTAGAGATTTATTTTGATAGCCCCAGCTTGTGTGACACTGTGGTTTTCAAAAATCACCAGTTTGTGCAATTTTTTTTCATTTGTCATTTGTTTTTTAACTCACCAAAATAAATATTGATAATGAAGAAGAATCCTTATTTACCACATGAACCAATGTTAAGTTATCACCACAAGATTAGGGTTATTAAACAAATGTGTCTCACTCTTGCTGGCTCAATCCAGGGCATTTGATTAGTGAATTTTCAGGTCATAGGTAAAAATATTATTTTCCCTTTCATGGGACATTGAAGCAAAGAGAGGCTGGAGTTGAAATCCGTACTACAATATTTGTAACTAACACCTTTCCTGATACAAGCATAATCCAGGCTGTTGGCTACCACAAAGGGAGGGTCAGGTAGATGACTGATTCCTGGTCATCCTTGTAAGTGTGAATAGTAACAGTATTGTATTTTTTAACTCCTTAGTCACTCTCAACAGAACACACATCACTTTTCTTTTCAGCTAGAATGGATGGAAGTCTTGCACCTAGTTCAGCTGATTTCAGTTTCTTTAGAGAGAGGGCTAAATGCTCAGCTTCACTGAAGCAGAGCTTATCATGCCTGGCATGGGAGAGACAAATGTGACTCTAAGCCACCTTTCCACCCTAACCTCCTCATCCCGGGACTGCTCATGGGCCATAGCTCAAATTAGAACAGCCCAAGGGCTGCTTTCATTGTGCCAGTTTGTAATGGTCCCTTTGTATGTCCATCACCCCAGCGAGGATCTCCAGAGCACGGCACACTCCCTTTTACCCAGAATTCTCCTATGCAGACATGCCATTTGGAGCAATGGCGACATTAGCATGGGCCAGGAACTTTTGACTTTTCCCTTAGCTAACCTTTTCATTCACTGTGTCTAATGAATGTATAATCCTTTTACCTACTGCCTACCCATAATTAACAATTCACTTTTCTATTCCTCTTTAACCATAATTGGAGGATCACATTTGGGCAGAAGATGGATTGAGCATAAATAGGGGCATGTTTTGGGTGATCCCATCAGGATTTGCAGACTCTTGGCTTTCATTTAAAAGAAAAATGAATTTTTAATTCTTCTGGTTCGGAAGAACACCTACTGGATGTGACCCTATGCAGTACCATCTGCGTGAGTGTGCAGAAGCAGACGCAAACAATGGGACAATTCTGCCCTGGTGTAATTTCACCAACTTGTGAGTGGGTTGTGAGTGTGACAGACAGGAAAGAAGAGAGAGGTACTAGGGGAAGAGAGTCAGTGATGGGGTGAGAAAGTGGGGAGAGAGTAGGAAGAGGAGGGAAGAGATTGAGGAAGAAGAGAAAAGAAAGGAGGGCAGGACAATGGGTGAGATTGAAGGGCAGTATACACAACAGAAGAAGAGTGTGATGGCAGGACATGGAACAATTATTGTACAATATAGAAAAATAAGTATGGGAGAAATGATCCAGAGAAGAGACACCAACATAAATAGTATAAAAGGTACATAAAAAATGGAGTGAAGACAACGGAGAAAGAGAAAAGTCAGATCAGCATTTGTTTATTAATTAATAATAAATTTAGTGCAAAAATGCTGCAATGACGGACCCTTTGTTTATTAAAAAAAGTGGGGAAGAGGACAGTGGACTGGGAAGCATATAGTGGAATTCACCCAAGGCAGGATCCACATACTGCAGAGATGGGTGCATAGAGGTGTGTAATAATAATAATTATTATTAATAATAATTAATACATTCCCAGGGCCTGCCCTGACGGTAGCTATTTCTAATTAGCACTGCTAGCATAGAGTTCCACTCATTACAATGGCACATAGGAATTGCCAGACTGGATCAGACCAGTGTCCAGTCCTGTCTCCAAAAGTGGACTGCACCAGCTGTTCTAGGGATAACCTGACTCCAAGGACGGTTCCTTCTACCCCCTATAGTGGGTGCTTTCCGCCCTTAAATATGAGGGGGTTCATCCCTTCCAAAAGTCTTGGTGGGTTTGTTGTTTTTGTTTGCCTGGGGGGCAGAGGGTTACTCTTGTTAGCCATATAAGGGTATGCCTACACTGCAGTTAAACACGCGAGGCTGGCCCTTGTCAGCTGACTTGGGCTCGCAGGGCTTGATCTTAAAGGACTGTTTTAATTGCGGTGTAGATGTTCGGGCTCCAGCCCAATCCTGAACGTCTACGCTGAAATTGAACAGCCCCTTAGCCTGAGCCCCACGAGCCTGAGTCAGCTGCTATTGGCGAGCTGCGGGGTTTTAACTGCAGTACAGACATACCCTAAATGTCTAATTCCTTTTCTAAAATCCTGATACAGTCTTGGCCTCCATGATGTATTGTGGCAGTCAGGTCCACAGTCTAATTACACATTTTGTGAAAAAGTATTTCCTTTTGTTGGTTTTGAATTTGCCCCCCCCCCCCTTCATTTTCAGTGAATGTCTTTTTGTTCTTGTCTTATGACACAAGAAGTTAAATAGAAGATCACATTCTATCTTCATTATTTTGTACACCTTTTATCATGTCATCTTTTAGTGGGGCTTACTACACCAGCATAAAGCCAGACCTTTCCCATAGCTGCTGTGGATTGGAGTAGCACCTGCAGCTCTGCCATGCCAGTTGCATAGATATTGAGAGCCACTGGATCCATCAAAACACAAACCAATGGCCTCTTCTTTATCCTGCGTCATTATGGCTTTTGTGCTAGTCTTTGTGGGGATGATGATGACGTGAAGACTCTTTGCTTTGTGTGTAGGGGGCTTCACCTGCATTTCCCTATGCAGCCCTATGTGGGGCTTACCTAGTGCAGAGAGCTTAGTGCTATCCTTGAATTTCACCCAAAATAAATAAGACATAATATACAACATTGTTGTATGGACAAGTATTAAAAATGTAATTTACGTTTTGAATTATTGCTTCCTAAAGGTTCATTTGACTATTAGGTTT